TCTCGGACCACGGGTTGAGGTTCGGAGACATACGACAGACACTGTCGGGAAAGTATGAGGAAAGGCTGCCTTTTATGCACATATATGTCCCCCAGAGATACCGTTCCCGCAATCTGACGGTCAATGAACACCGACTCACCACTCCTTTCGACATACACTCAACGCTTAAGCATATACTCGAAGGTTAGAAAATTCTTACAATTATAAACTTAAACAGAAAAATAACTTTAAACATGTTTTAGCTACAATTATGTGCACATTTTGAATAATAATATTTTATAAGTTTAAAACTTTAAATTTTAAAAATTTTGTTATTTTTTTAGGTAAACCCAATACTACTTTAAAATATGGATTATCTCTATTAGAGGAGATCCCATACAACAGGAGTTGCGATAGTATACCGATATTAGAGCACTGGTGCGGCTGTCAGACCAGTCAACCCATACATGACTTACACAGCGTTAGACCTATGGCTGAGTTTGTGGTCACAAAACTAAATGACTTACTGCACGACAAGTATAGCAATGTTTGCCTAAACCTAACATTTGGTGAAACGCTGTCCGCATTTGAACAGCAAATGAATGATAAAGTGTTGCGATATTTAAAGTCAGACAATGAGGACATCAGTAAATCTGTAATTTTGAGTAACAATACAGTGGTGTCAGAAGTGAAGCACTATTTGCTGACAATTCGTGTCCATCCGAGTGATGGTGTCTTTGAATCGACCGTTCATTTGAATACGACTTCACATCAAATGCTTATAATTGGAGACATTTCTCGCATTAATTTATACGCAAATCAATCGCATTGTGTCGACAGTCCGTGGCTTAAGAAGTATTGCTTTTGTAAGGATTTGTTATGAAACCGAAATAACTATTTACTGATTTGCAATTGTTTCAATCAGGGTAAATTAATAAATAAAGTGAGCAGTATAACGCAAGTTAATAAAATATGAAATCCAAATGAAAGTGCAAATTTTAATACAAAATATAGTCTTTCAATAAAAATAAATCATTAATTAAAACAAAATATTCAAATTAATGTATTTATTAAAATATAATCAATTAGTTTATTAAAATTTTGAATTTAAAAAACATAATTGAGCTTATGATTCAATACAAACAATAAAACCGATGCAAATATTTGGTAATCGTAGGGTCAAATGGGGTGGGGTGGGGTGAGGTGGACGGTGTGCTATTGACTTCAACCCAACAAAATACATAAATTATATATTTAGCATATACTGTATAATTTTTATAATAATGATTTTAAATTTATCTATCTAGGGTACTAACATAATTTCAATAAATTAATGAAGCGAGCTAATATAAATTAATATACTAAAAGCCTTGCTACATAAATGTTTAATATTTAATGTGCACCCTGTTAATGTTAACAATAAAAAGTTTTTTTTATTGACTTGGAAACTAAGTACGGTCAAAATCATTATTTTAAAAACTACATTGATTAAAAATAATTTGAAAATATACTTTTTTCATATTTTCATTGTCTTTCTGTGCATCAATGGACAGACACCTATTTAAAAGGGACTGGTAGCTTTTAAGTTTTATGCTCTTGCTC